CCCCTTTTTAATTAAAAAAAAAAAAATAAGAAGCTTCTTTTTTTTTTTTTTTTTTTTTTTTTTTTTTAGTTTATTGAATTATTATTCATTCTATTTTTTTATTTTATTTATTTTTTTTAATCAAGAGTTCATTGTTATTTCTGAATAAATAAAGACGAGAGCTATCTGTTGTTGATTCATTTTATTTTATTTTTTCCTTCGAATTTTGGTGAAAAAAATACATATTGAATTGTCGAGAAGAGGATACCCTTATGGGTAGCCCTGGATTGAGTAATTCGGCTACTGCTACTCGCGTTGGAATATCTGAGCCAATTTCTACTGGTGGGCCCACTGAATTTGACGTGATTAAGTCCCGGGAGTTGGAAAAGGTTGGTTCTTTATACATTTGCTATCAAGCTTACGCATATTTTGTTGAAATTTTGTATCAAAAGTCGAGGTCGGTTTTGTTTGGAAAAAAATTAGGGTATATCACAATTAGCTTGCAGAAGATAGAACTGCGATTTTAATCATATGCTTCTTTTCATGGGATCTCAGATTCGATTTGAAGTTTGAAAAATGACTTTTATACATAGAACTTGAATTTGAGCCTGGTATTCAAAATTTTCTGAATTGTAATTCCTGAATTTCAATTTTGAGATTGGAATTAGATGTTCGCAACTGTGCCCTTTAGTTGTACCATCTGTAAGAGATGGGGAATGGCATCTTCCCAAGCCTTTTAGGAACTTTATATTAAATTGCGTAAATTTCAACCGTGAATCCATTTCTGTAGAATAAATTACCACAGTTCATTGAGGAAAGTAATATAAATTTTTTTGGAATATTAGTTCTAGTGTTTGATTTTCCACAGTTGTCAAGCAAAGAAAAGAAGACTTGTTCTTCAATATATTTTGAAAATTGCCTTTTTTTAATGTTTTTATGGTTGTCGGCAAAAGACCAGTTTCTTTGATCAATTTTTTCCTTTTAATGGAATAAATGCGACAAGTCTTTTTCTCATGGTTCAAAAGTTCACATTAATTTGAGCTAAGCCATGGTTTTGCTAAATTGACTTGAAGAAAATTTTTTATTTTATTTTTTAATTTACTTAGCCCCTGTTTGGTTCCCATATCTTAAAACTCACTTTCCTCCAAACTCGTTTTTAACCACACATTTCATGGGACCTAGAACTTTATCAACTTTTCGATCACATAGTTCATCAACTTTTATCAAAACCAAACTGGGGCTAATTTTTAGTAAAATCGAACGGGGTCTAAGCTTTTGAATTAACTAGGTTTAAATATTTTATAAATAATCAATTGTTCTTGTAAATTCAGTTTCTTGCGGATGCGGGATTGTATGAAAGTCATGAAGAAGCTATCAGAAGGGAGGAAGTGCTTGGGAGATTGGACCAGGTCACAAATTGTATTTTCAAACTCTGTTTTCCCTTTTACAGCAATTGATTTGTACAGTATTAATTCTGGATAATTTAACAGATTGTGAAGAAATGGGTGAAGAATATTAGCAGTGCTAAAGGTTTTAATGAGCAGCTAGTCCAAGAGGCAAATGCGAAGATTTTCACGTTTGGTTCTTATCGTCTTGGTGTATGAATTCATCCAATTTCACTTTTTTTTTTTTCTATTTTTTTTATGTTTCTCTGTTACTTATTTGGGTCTTCTTCAAGACTATTTAATAGTTTGTGCCTTTGCTAAAGGTCTTGTGTAATTTTGTGAGGCAAGGCGTAAGCCTCGAGGCTATAGCCTCGCCTCAAATCAGTCTATAAAAATAATTCAAAAGAATATAAAAATATGAAACTTTGCTCGCAAATCATAAATTCACAATAGACCATAAAATGCCTTGAAATATCTATAATGCTACATTAAAAGTCGAACTTGCAAATAAACATAAAATATATTAATAATACAGAAAATATTAAGTTCTGAAATTAGTAATCCACTAATAAATATAACATACCAGTACAATTGGAAATAACTAATGACTCTCTTATATCATCACTGCTAGCAGGATATTTAAGGATATAATAAGCATATTTTATTGCCCAATCATTCTTATTATCCTCCACTTGAGATGGTGTCTTCTCGTTCTCATTCCTTATGTCTGTAGTCAGAAAAAATGAAAAGAAAAAACTGTGAATCATAAAAATAGCCTGGTACAATGATGTCAGTAATAAAAATGCCCTTAAGAGGCAAGACAAATGAGAGAACACCTTAGTTGCCGACATCGCCAATGTTATGCAAGGTAGGATTCGGGACGTTGAATGAAAGCCTGATGTGAGGTGAGATTAGAGGCATAAACTCAAAAAGGTATTTTGGAAACGGCCATCACATTGTATCTGGATATAATCATGATATTCCTCCACAGACGACTTAGATTAGAGTTAGTTCATATTTAGTCTTAGATGCCTTATGGATTCTGATATGTTTCACTCATCTGGATGTTGAGTAACTAGCTTTTTCTTCATCTCATTTCAGCAATTTATGTGAAAGACAAGACAGCAGTATTGTTGCTTACTGTGGAAACTGGAAAGCTGGCTAAAGTTGAAATTAAAATTATTGTTCCCCGTTCATAAGTTATTTGGGTCAAGCATTCTTTTCAATCTTAATTTGGCCAATGAAAGTCCAGTTGCGTGCCTGTTCCCTTTGCTTAATATTCAAAAGCATGCTGCATCTTTGTTGGACTCGAATGCCTTTTCTTTGAGACCCAAATGGATAGACATCAGAAAAAGTGGAGATATGAAAAAGATTAGAAAATGATTTTATTGGAATCTTTTGGCCAATACTAGAGTATGTAATGTGCGAGGGTAGTGAAAGGGGAGATCAAAATTAGTTAAGTATTAACTATATGTGGATACCAGAACAATTGATTTTTTATGGAGCTGGAACTTTTTAGAGCAGCAATTGCACATCTTTTTTGAGCAACTCTGTTTAGAAGTTTCTCTAAAGATGAATTGAATTTGACATGATAAAAAAGATTGTAGATTGTAGAAGTTTCTCAAATGATGTGAAATGGAGATGAATAAACATTGATCTCACTTTCGTATGGTTTGAAATGGAATAGACATGATGGTGGGAAGGAAATTTCAGAACTAAAATTATTTCTGTTTACAAACTTTTTCTTGGTACTGTGATTGTAAGCATCTCTGGTTTTTTTTCAAAGGTTTCAGGCCTCTCTTTTTTTTGGGATGATTATCTTTAGACATGGCAGAGGATTTTATCTTTGATTGAATTTTTATTCTTAACAGGTACATGGTCCTGGTGCAGATATTGATACCTTGTGCGTTGGACCAAAACATGCTAGTCGGAATGTAGGTTCACTTGCCTTTATGACCTAGGAACTTTACTTTCTTGAATGTGATGGTTGATGAGTTGAAGAATTTTTGTATATGTCATATGCAGGAAGATTTTTTTGGTGAACTTTACAGAATGTTGGCAGAGATGCCTGAAGTACAAGAGCTACATCCTGTGCCTGATGCTCATGTTCCAGTGATGAAGTTCAAGTTCAGTGGCGTTTCTATAGATCTTCTTTATGCGAATGTGGCACTCTGGGTTATTCCTGAAGTATGTACTTGTCGTCTTGTGAATTTTTATGCCAACTTGAACTTTGTATGTGTTGATTTCTCTAACTTCTAATTATACGATTTTTATGCCAACTTGAACTTTGTATGTGTTGATTTCTCTAACTTCTAATTATACGATCTGTTGAACTAACTATGTGTTGGTAGATGTAGCCATAGTTGAACATTTTATTGGGTTTTATTCCCTTTTTTTGTTCGTTTGTGATACTGTTCTGACGAAGATTAAATGTTTATGCATATTTGCATAATAGAAGACCACCATAATTTTAGAGAGGCTCTTCTTCTTCTTCATTTTATTGGTGCATTTTCTAATTATATTCTCCTTTTACTCAATAATTTATGTTCTTCATATGATTGGAACGAGTCTTATGTGTACTTGTATGCCTCTATATGCAAAGTGTTAAGCATTAGTGATAATTTCCTGATTTTTGTAGATACTGCAAATATTTATATTGTTTTTTCTTGTGCATCTTTTTATTCTTAACATTTAAAGGACTTAGATGTTTCACAAGAATCTATACTGCAAAATGTGGACGAGCAAACTGTTCGCAGTCTCAATGGATGCAGAGTGACCGATCAAATATTGCGTTTGGTGCCAAATATCCAGGTTTGTAAATAATACAATTCTGTATTAATGCATCTGTTTCGAGAACCTGATGCTAACTTTCTTGATGTTCTGTTCTCTTGTAGACATTTCGTACTACACTGAGATGTATGAGATTATGGGCGAAGCGGCGTGGAGTTTATTCAAATGTGAGGGAGATTAAGATAACAGTCCTTACATTTCAATTTCCATTAATTGATGTATGCAAATTTTGGTGTAATTAAGTCTTTTCATTTAGACACTGAATTTTCCTTTTTTAACGGCCAGGTTACCGGTTTCCTCGGTGGAATTAATTGGGCATTGCTTGTTGCGCGTATTTGCCAGCTATACCCAAATGCTCTGCCTAGCATGTTGTTGTCTAGGTTCTTTAGGGTCTATAATATGTGGCGCTGGCCAAATCCTGTGATGTTATGCCCAATTCAAGAAGGATCTTTGGGGCTCCCTTTTTGGGATCCTAGAAAAAATTACAAGGACCGATTGCACCTGATGCCCATAATAACTCCTGCTTATCCTTGCATGAACTCTAGCTACAATGTGTCAATAAGCACATTACGTGTCATGATGGAAGAATTCCAAAGGGGAAACGAAATTTGTGAGGTAGCAATCTTTGTATCTTGGTAAATTTGAATGCAAAGTTTTTGTTCTCCTCCCCTTTTGCCCCCTGAACCCTAATGGGACCAATGCA